AATATTACTTCTTTAAATACATACAACATGCTTAACTGCTAAAGATGAAGCACAGACTGGAAACTTTAATGCATGTTCTTCAGACGGAAACTCATAACCCGCCTGTTGTAGCTCGATTTTCTTTCTCGAGGTTGAAGATTACTCGAGTCCTGTGTGATTGTGATGAGTTTGTATTCTGTAATAGCTCTTGAATTATTGAAATTGTTTGGCACAGACGGGTTTGATTGGCTCTGATGTGATTGTGATGTGTGTGGTGCGTCTCTGCTGTGAGATGTCATGCAGTTAGAAACATCTGTCAGTGCTGTCAAACACATCGCATGGCGATAGGAACCGCGGGAATCCATCCAGGTTGCCTGGTTCTGGTCTGGATTTCCAACATCAGCCATGACTATATGAAATGTTTCAAATTTGGTTGTTGCATTTGTTTGTACAAATTAACATTACATAGATCCCATCTATGTACATTTTCCAACATATTTAGCATTTTGGTCACAGGCTTCTCAATACGGCTTTCTTGATTTATAACCTTAAAGGGGTCATATGATGCGATTTAAGCACTGGATAGCTGGCCAATCAGAGCACACCTCGCTTTTCAGACCGATGAGCTTTGTAAAAATCGACGCGTTTCAAAAAGGCGGGGCATAGAGGAGAAACAATAATGTACAGTATGTGGAAAATAATGTGTTTTTTAAACTTTAAACCGCATAAACACATTTCATTACACCAAATACACAAAATAATGCTCTTTTTAGCAACATCATATGACCACTTTAACAGGTACTGTATACCATTCTGGTCTACATTTACTAGCTAAATATTAGAAGTGATGATACAACTTATTGTACTCTTTCTTTTTGATCCAATACCAATTAATATGAAAGCCAACATCGCTGATACACAAATAATGCTATGAAATACAGTATTTGATATTTGAAATATTGAAAAATATGTGTGTGTGTGTTTAACTGAAAATTCATGCAGTTTTATGCCAATTAATAAAATATAAATAATAAAATATAAATACAAATAAATTAAAATTGAAAATATTATACATTTGTTTTCCTTTTCATAGTTTTAAACTGCAAGAATTATCCTGCTAAATATGTATATTTATGAGTGTGCTAAGTATATGTGTGTGTGCATAAAATTCTATATATATATAAACTAAAAATTCATGCAGTTATCTATCTATCTATCTATCTCTATATATATATATATATATATATGCCATATATATTCTTTTGTTTAAAATTTTATGCCAAATATGTATTATATTATTATTATATTATTTTATGATCGATCCTCTCGATAAAACATCATTATCAAAAACATGAACTCATCTCTATCACATTTGGCTACTAAACAGCACGGCTGAGCTGGTTTACAAGGCAGACCAGCTGAAAACCAGCGCTAAACTAGTGCAGATCAGCATGGTAATTCAAACTGGGTTGAAAACCAGCAAAATATCAGTAGATTGTTACATTTCTGGAGAAAAAAGCATGTAAAACTCACTGCCACAACCATGTTTCTTTCCATCTACATAACCTGTATGTATGACATTCCATAAAGGTTTGCAATGGCAAAACGATGGCAGCACTGTCATCTCTTTAAACTGAACGTGTGACAAGTGTTCAATAAATTCAGTTTTGAAACTCAAACTTTGCCAACCATCAAGTAAAGACCTGGGCAGCGTATTCCTCCTACATCCTCAGAGCTACAGCTTCTCTTTTCAGCATGTACCAGCGTTTGTTTCAGAATCCAGTTGGCTTTGCTGTGGCCATTAATATGCATCAGAGTCACCGAATACTGTGATGTTCGCTTTGTTCCTGGCAAGCGCACTGAGTCCACGGGGCAAACGCGAGCACGGAAATCTGGCTCGCATCGGCCCTCACGCTCACTGGACCAACTGTACCCACAATGGCCAGTGCCAGGGTGGCATGAGCCTGCGGGAGGGTGAGAGATAAGCAGATGCTTCCTCCTGCCTCCTGATGCCAACCCAGTGATCAGCGCTCAGCGATAAGCCACAGCGACTCGAGTGTGTCTAATCTCTCAAACACCTCCTCTGGACTGGGCTCAACAGGAGCCCCACATAATGGAGAAGCTGCCATGGGCTCAGAGATCTCGCTGTGAGTGCGGTTTGTTCTCTACGAGGGAATGAGGAGCTTCCAAACGCTCTACAGAAGCACAGGAACAAATATAGCAGCGTTAGGAGCCGCAGCAGCTGTGTGCTCAATGGAGAGAGTCGCCTACAGAGTTCTACATCAGTATTTATGTAATATTTAAATGGATAGTTCATTTAAAAATGTTGAGTTCTGTTCATTTACTCTTCCTCATGTTGTTCTGAACATGCATGAACATTAAAGACGATATTTTCAAGACAACATTTGACCCCATTGACTTTCATTGTATTTTGTACGTTTTGATTATGTCTCATATTGTCTTTGGTCCCTGACCTTCTGATTTAAAATTGTTTTTGTTTCTAACCACAAACTGAAATGTACTTTTTTAGTTCGTTTGAATTTTCCCTATTTTCCTCGCTTTCCTTCGCTTTCATTCGCTTTTAAATAGCTTAAAAGCGCCGTGCGCATTTTACATTCACTTTCGAATTAGCGGCAATTCGGCGTCAATTGCTTGAATGCAACAATATGTATATTGTATGTATACAAAATAATGTATAATATATAACCAAATAAATAAGAAATGTGATGCGACTGTCGTTCGGCACGCTGCATTGAGCAGCCGCGTTCACTAAATGATTTTTATTACTACAAAAAAATCAAAATGACGGTGGGGGTCGGTGGGCAAGTGACGTAACCGGTGTTGCGGCTTAACAACGGTATCACCATCAGCACCATCTATCGCGGCAAGCCTACTTCAAACCTCTGAGGGATTTTCACCACTTACGTCTTAATTAATGCAATTACATAGATGTGAAGCTCGTAAACGAGCACCTGCTGTGATGTTAAATTCATTGACGCTTTGATCTATGAAAGCTCTGTTAGAGGAGACGCAGACTAATGCGCTGTAATGGAAGAAATATCCGTCTTAATTGTCTGATTCCAGATTCTCATTTGTACAAATACATGACAAATATGTTTCTTATTTTCTGTCTCTCTGGATCAGATCTGTTTTTTTCGCCCGGTCCTTCATGACACCTCTTTATGAGCACATGATGGAGCGTCGCGTTACGGGTTTTTCATGGCTGCCATCCAGCTAAAACACTGGTGCGGATGAACTGATACACACTAGACTAGAGGATGCTGGGATTGAGTTGGCCGGTGCGCAACCATCTGCCTCGTGAGAAAATCTAACATGGCCTGCAAATGTGTGATTTACTTGCCTGGAATCACACAAGACAACTACTATTACAGTATTATTAATTATTAATAATATTACTATTACAGTACATTATTATTTCCTCATTAAAAATATATAAACCTCACTTTAGGTATAAAAGGTATAAAACTCACTTTAAAAATATTATTTATTTAAACATTAATATAATTCTAATTATATTTTAATTTATTTCATTACTATTTGATAATATTTTATTTTCTATTTTGATTTTACATTTAGTTACAGTTTTAGTAGTCTTGTTGTTTGTTTTTTATGCCTATAATGGTTTCATACATTTTTAACTTCAGTTTTAGTTTTAGTTATTTTAATACAGCAATTTAAACAATTAAAATGATAAATGAAATAACAATAAAGAGTTTATATGTGTATGTGTGTGTTTAAGTTTGTTTCAATTAACTTTAATATCCCTGATCCATAAAACAATAACATTCTCAGAAATACACAATCACTTTCTGATGAGTAAATATGTGCTGCTAAATAAGTGAGTTTATTCCTAAAAAGAGTTTAATCAAACCATTATTGTTTAACGAATGTAATCAGTATGTGCTAAAATTGTCTCCATGTTTAGTACGAATGTGTTTAATTCATGTGTGTAGAGTTGTTTCTTCATCACAGCTCTCAGAACATCTGACCATAAAACCGGTCGTCCCGTCTAACAGATGACAGAATAAATAAGCAACGAGTTTCACAAGCTCTGATGTGTTTATGAAACGACTCTCAGCTGGTTTGCGCGATGCAGACGTCATGAACCAGGAAGCATGCTAATGAGAGTGTGTCTAAAGGCTAAAGGCTAATGCTGTCCCGCTGGGTGGGGTGTTAAAGTGTGCTGTTGTGCAGATGACCAAATGGAGCTCATTATGGAGTAATGAGGCAGAAACAGAGCGAACCGCTAACAAACAGACAGAGCCGTCATGTGCTGAGCAGGCCGGAAATTCTGGGTAAAACGGAATAAGAAACTGATTCACACTGACAAAGTCAGCTGATGGGTTTGACTGGATTTTACACAGAACTTTTACTGTGGGCTGTTTGTTCTTCTTTGGTCAATTACTTTAATAAAAACATAAATTTTTTCACAATATCTTCTTTTGAGTTTTGCTGAGGAAAAACAGTCATACAGATTTGGTACAAAATTAGGGTGAGAAAATGACAGAATTTACATTTTTAGGTAAACCGTTCCTTTAAGAAAAAAACATTTTTATATATACTGTATTATATATTAATTATATATTTTATAATTGGCTTCTTATGAAACCTCACACCTCTTTTAGATTAGTTTAAAAAACGTTAAAAATTATTAATATTTAAACTATATAACATTTAAAAATACATTAATATTAGCGACCATACAGAGATTAATTGGTTTGGAAAATGAATTTGCGGACAATTATCTTTTTTTTTTTTTTTAATCACCACACCATATACATTAATGCAAAAATAATGTTTTCCAAACATGTCTGTCATTAGTCCGAAAAAACAGGTAGCCCCACCGACCAGAACCATAATTAAAGTTCTGAAAGCATCACAGAGCCTCGTTGTGAAATTGTGAATGTCCTTATTATAGCACATTAAACCGATAAAGGAATATTTGAACATAAAAACAATTACACACATCAATTTTAAGGATCCCAGTGCAGTTTTCTCACCCAGTGGAGGGGGTCATGATACACCCGCCGCGGTCCACAGTGGCTCTGCAGCCGCAGCCGCGCTCCGGCGTGTCGTGGTTCATGCCGAAGTTGTGTCCGAGCTCATGGGCCAAAGTAACCGCAGCGCCGAGAGGGTTATCAGAGTGATCCTAGAAGACCAAGAGAGCGAGAAACCATCAGTCAAACACAATACAAATAAATGCTTGGTGAATTCAAATAAGCAATCAATTCCAATTTAAAACAAACAAGAGCAATTTCTTCCTCCGCGACCCCAGAGACCCGAGAGGCGTTATCCTGTTCCACCTTCCCTCCCCAGATTACATTTATCCCCACATCTCTCCTCCTGCATGTTTGTTTTTCTCTCAGAAAACGCTTTCACATGAGACCCGTAATGAGCAGACGCTAACGGCCTTTATAATGACTTTTCCACAAATCCATCAGAGCAGCATATCTGGAGGTCCGCTGCTGTAATCGCAGACCGTTCTGCAGGCTTTGTTTGGGGAAGGGTGTGTGCTGATGAGGCAGGACAGACACAATTACAGTCGCTTTGGTGAGGACGTGTCTGCCAAACACGTGAAAACCAAATTAAAAGGAGGGAAAACCGCCAGATCCAGTTCAGTTCTGAGTGATTATGAGCGTGAATGTGCAGAGGAAAGTTTTATTGCTCAGAAGGTGCTCTTTCAGAACTAAAGAGACTCAGAAACCAAACACTGGAACAAAATGATTTAAAAAGTTTAGGGTCAGTTAGAAATGAATGATTTTATTCATCAAGGGTGCATTAAAATGATCAAAAGTGACAGTAAAGACTTTTATAATGTTTCAAAAGACTTCTATTTCAAATAAATGCTACTCGTTTGATCTTTCTATTCATCAAAAATCTTGAATAAAATCAGGATTCATTTTTTTATAATAAAACAGATTAATGGATTAATTTGAGAAGAAAATACTGTTTCAGTCATCAGAATTTCATGTTGAATTCTATGTGTTACTTTCAAATGCTTTATAATTTTTTTGGGGGGTGAAATTTACAAGCTATTTCTGAGCGAAAATTGTTTCTACATTTCTTTCAGTGTATGAAGCAGCACAACTGTTTTCAACATTGATCATAATCAGAAATGTTTCTTGAGCAGCAAATCAGCATATTAGAATGATTTCTGAAGATCATGTGACACTGAATGAGTAATGATACTGAAAATTCAGCTTTGATCACAGAAATAAATGACCTTTTTTATATATTAAAACAAAACACAGAAATGCTTTTACTGTGTTTTTGATCAAATAAATGCAGCCTCGGTGAGCAAAAGAGTCTTCTTTTAAAAATATTTTTAAAATTGACCGACCTCAAACTTTTGAACCATAGTTTATATTTCCTATAAGGTACATGTTTAATCAAAAAATCTTTACAATTATTGTTGGCATGATCACATATCTATACACAACTCTCCTGCCAGCTTTGGGCATTTATAACTGTGTCAGGCAAAAATGCTGATGCTTATGAATCCAGCACATTCTATAATGAGCCTCATTTGCATAGAAAGGATGCACGTTTGTCAGGAAAAGAACGACTTAATTTAAATATGCATGATGCAATTTGCTTTCCGCACTAGAGGAGCGTTTGAGGGACAGGAGTGTTAAAACAACCAGATCAGTCTGAAATCAAGCAGGAAAACAGCTAATTGGATTTCCAAAAGCCTCATTGGTTAAAAGATGCTTATGTCTGAACGCAATGTGGCAAAAGTTGCAATTTTCTCACTCTAGAGGACACAAATTTAAGATTGCTGTTTTTTTTTGGATCATAAAAATCAGAGAAGCAGGAGACTCGAGCAAAAGTCTCCATCTGCGCTCCATTTAATCTCTTTTAATGTCATTTAGTGAGTTTTATTTCTAGTGGATGTGAGATTGGAGAATTCTGACCGTCCGGGGAGCTGAACACAATCATATAATCTGCTGATGCCATGTGTATCTCAATGCATTTTCAGGAAGCTTTAGTTTGGTTTAGTGGGAACTGGTCAAATGAGGACAAAACTAGATGTCATGAGATCGTGCCATGTTTCGGTGAAATACTGTGGCTTTTATGGTGGCAGCTCCACTCAGTCAAACAGCAAAAACAAATGTCCGACATTCAAGAGGCGGCCAAAGGAAATACAACACATCCGATGAATGAGTCAATGAAGAAAACATGCATGTCTGCTGTTTTGACTGATAAAGACAAAATATTTTGGTAGAAACCACATATGACCATAATGATCTATAATGGAGAAGCTTCATATAATGGGACCCTCAATCAAAACACAAATATCGAGATGGTCAATTTTACACATGAAACACATCATGCAAGCAGAATGAAAGCAATAGTTTGAATTGTCTGTGCTATTAAACCGGAGGTGTTATTAGTCAGGTAGCCGGCTATAAATACGACAAGAGTTTAACTATCTTCAACATACTTGCTGAGCAGGAACACATACAGCGCTTTCCCTCGACCACAGACGCTCTGCTCTGATTTAGTGTCTCAGCAGGATGTTATTGTGGAGTGCTGCTGTGTGATCAGTGTGTTGGGTTGATTTAAGGGAAGCGTCTCTAGAAGTTAGGGTTAGGGTTAGTTTAGGGTTAGGTTAGGTTAGGGGACAGTTAGAGGTTAGGTTAGGTTAGGTTAGAGGACAGAGTTACTGTCCTCATTTGACACAGTAAAAGAGCAGATGATCATCTAAAAGTTAGCAACCACAACAACCTCAGGTGAACTCTGGATTCAAGAACTAAATCATACTTGCAATGGGACTAAACATACATATAATAGAGATATGATGTGTAAAGTAAACGTATATATATATATATAATAATAATATAATAATATATATTTGTTTTTATATATAACATTTATTTATATTAAATATATAAGTATTTTACAGTTATTTTTCACTTAATATATATATATATATATGCACATTTAAATCAAAACATTGCACAAAAAAAGATTATTTGGTTTCAAATGAATCAACTCAGACAACATACTGTTAAAAAAGACCAAAAAAAATAAAATAAATGAATATAAAACATCCAAAATTTGAAATGCTCAAAAATATCAATAAACCTCCATGTAATCAGGAATGATTGACAGATGTCACTCACCATGACGATGCCCCCTGACTGTTCCGCAGTGCACATGCTCATAATGGGAGCCATGCCGATGGTGGTGCCCTGGAAGTAAACGCCACTGAAGAGAGAAAACAGGAAGTCATGTGACACACGTTCTTCTACAGCAGGCTGTGTAAAGTTTCAATAGAAACAAAGTGTTTTAAATACAAATATGTGAATAAAACCTCATGCATTTTTCAACGTTTCAAAATAATAAATAGTAAAGCAATTCTTCCTGGAAGAAGAAGTGCATTGATTCTGGTGGTAAAGCTCATGCTGTGTTTTCTACCTGCCGGCCCCGAGCAGTAAATGTGTTTAGCAGTCGAACCTGATGAGCTGAGCGTTATCGTGGGGTCTCTGCGGGAGCAGCTTGACTTTTCTCCAGTCCAGGAACTCGTGGAGCGATGTGAACGGATCCTGTGTGATGGAGCATTTGTCTCCGTCACTCCACACCTCCAGCCCCACCAGAGCCACACGGATATTCAGCGATCTGTAAAACTGAAACACGGCAGCGCTTGCTTTCAGCAAAGCAGAGGTAAAACCTGACAAAAACTCACTTTAGATACACAATTTTCACAAATATGTATCTATGTGTAATTTCATTTTTGCCAAATTATTGCATCACATCCAGTTAAGACATGCTAGAAATTGTCTAAAAAACATAGAAATTGACTAAATACATTATATTAAGATGTAGATAATATATATTCAGATTTGCAATATATATATTCAGGATTTATAAATATTCTATTTATAATATTCCAATTTACACTTATATTTTTTAGAATTATAACTCTAAAGATTTATAAACACATTCCGATTTACAATTATAGGCCTATAGTCAGTTATAACTATTCACAATTTACATTAATATATTCAAACTTGTAACTATATTTTCATATTTATTTCTATACATATATTCATGATTTACATTTATGTATTCAGTTTTGAATCTATATATTCAAACGTTTATCTACTGTATATATATGCCAATTTACATTTATATCTTCAGAATTATAACTACATACAATTTACATGTATACATTCAGATGTATAACTGTATATTCTGATTTACTTCTATATTTTCAGACTTACAACTATATATTTAGATTTACTTTTATATATTCACAATTTACAATTATACATTTGATTTGTATCTATATATTCAAACTTACAACTATGTAATCCGATTTACATTTATATATTCAGATTTTATATAATTATTACATATGACACATATATAGAAATATATGCATATATATATATCCAGGGGCGCCTTAAGATAACCAAAGGCCCCTGGGCTACAGCATTACAGTAGGCCCCCTGACCCCAGAAAACCTTTTTTTTTTTTTTATCTTCCTAACAATTATTTGTCAAATTTCGTTTTTTGTCTTGTTAATATGCCAGTTAACATTCACAACACTGTTCTGCGTAAAATGTGAATATAAGCAAATCTGCAAATTCACTCTTTGCCACAAGGTGGCGCTTGTGGAACAGCAGAATTATATAGCCGTTACATAAAGTAAAGACTGCGTTATTACGGGCATTATACAGATAATTATTATAAATAATTATTCAAAAAATATAATTTCCCTGCAGCCAGTGGGCCCCCTTTCCAGTGTAGGCCCCTGGGCTTCAGCCCCTTGAAGCCCGTGCATTAATGTGCCCCTGTATATATCTATTGCACTTATTTTATTTTATACTGAATATATACATGAATGTTGTTGCACAAATATGTACCTACTACGTATAATTTTCTTGCTTGTTTTTTGAATGCTAAAATGCAGATAAGAATGACTAAATAAGAACATTTCAAGTTAACGTAAGAATTTTCCTTCCAAATTATGTGTTTTCTGCAAGTATTAATTATTCATTCATTCATTAAGCATGTTGACATGCTTTCCAAGTTTACCTTGTCCACGTAGTTTGCTATTTCAGCAAGTCTCTGTTTCACTTTCTCCACGTCTTTCCCCTGTTTCTGATACTGAAATGCAACGAAGGACAAAAAAAAGTCTTTAAACTGCAGCCAAATGTGCCGTTCACTGGCCTGCTGTGGTAAATGTCACATGAGGTAATTCATTTTCCACGGGCAGCGGCACACAGATTTTGAGCCAAACACGACCAGCAGTGTTTGAAGTTCAGACTGTCAGTTTTACAAAATAAAAGCACAGACTGGAAATGTGTCACCCATGATTGCTGTGATTGTTGCAGGAGAGACAAAAATCAGGATGGAAGCTTGATTGCAGTAAAATTAGCAAGTCAAGAAGAAATGCACTATTTCTAACTCTTTCTTTAACAAAGTTTTGTTCTTGTCCATAAAGCACCACAGGACGGGATATTTGAAAGGTAGAAAGAATTATACTGTAAACAATGTGTTTCTTAATTCACATTACAAACAGTCAGTAAAGAGGTCAAGTGATCACAGCTGGCCGTCTTCATTTCCTGTCCAAACAAACAATGACCCTCTAATCTGCTTTGACCTTTGACCTCTTGTCTTTCTTAAACTCAGGGTCAAGGGGTCATGACCTTGCACTGACGCAGCTATGGAAGTCTCACGCCAATGAATGGAGTTACAATGATTTAATTTGGTGAAACTCAGCTGGTCCAGGGCCATACAGTTATTTAAGCACTATTACAATTATTTAAAATAATAAAAAAAATAAATAATAATAATTGAAAAAAATTGTTAATTGAA